CATTGGGCTCAGGGTGCCGGCAAACAGCTCTAGTTGATTATAGGACAGCTTCATCGCTTCTGATCTGCTCTCTTTTGGAACGTTCCTCTTGTAATTTGAAAAGGTAACCGAGGAATCACAAATTTAATTTCGACTCAGGCTCTAAAGAAGGCGAATCCGCCGAAACGTAAGCTGGTTGTGAATGAAGCGCCTAATAGTCTCCCAGGCAAAGACAACTAAAGGCGAATTTGCTTTCAACATGCCGAGATTGATTGATGGTCGGAAATGGAATATTCTGATTGGAAGGGATAGCCCAGGTTAAGAAAGCGCGGAAATTGGCGTATTAACAGATATCAGGCTTCAAAAAACTTGTTGTATGAGAAAGTGAGAATAGAAGATGCACGGAAGGGATATTTGGACAAGCTGTTCAAATCCGGGCGCTATCGCACACAACTGGCTGCAATAAGCTGCCTTCGGGCAATATGTAGATCCTGGTGTGGATGTTGCATTATCTGCAGCTCTTAGGTAAGCCAGTTTTTGGACCCATATTGCACCCTAGCCTGGGTGCTTCTGACCTATCAGCGCCCCTTAAGCTATCTTGGGAATTACGTGTACATTAAAGGGAAAAAAATCCCAAGTACTATTCTTACCGTTCAGTGTGTCTCTATGGGAAATACTTCAGTAAATGCAATAGATTCGATTTGAGCTTTCGGCAACGGTGGATTGGACCTTCCAGCCTCGATTTTGCTTTTTTTATGGTCATTGAAATGAATAGGAAATCAGGACACTTTCTGAGTGCACTTTCCTTAGGATGCACGCAGTGCAACACTCACCCTCACTAACATGAAAAAATCGCAGGATGTCCAGTGAATACGTAATAGCAACGTAGCTCGCTACAAACATGGCTAGAAGACTATTTGGCCGACGTCATTCGGAGGAGCGTGAGAATGTTTGCCTTTTTTACGACAGCGCTCAACCGCATGTTGCGAAATTGTTTTGACGGTGAATTGCTGAACTTGGAAAGGAAGTGCTGCCCCAATCTCCTTATTCGCGAGGTCTCGCTGCATCTGTTTGCCATTTGTTTTCTTGCTCTGAAACATCACTTTCGCGATAGAAACTTTGATGATTGCCCGGAACTCAAAACTGAGATTTCCAGATTTTTGGCCTAATCGCGGCCGCCGCCCTTCTAAGCTTCAGGAATCAAAAAATGCCGGATCGTTGGACATATGTTGGGGATATATATATATATATATTTCTCTGAATCAATTGCTTAACCCTTAAAACTGCCTCCAACTGCTTGCACGTAATGGACAGCGGCCCACGACAGCTTCCGCAGTAATCATCGTAAGAGTTCCCTATCTTCTTAAAATGATGTATCTGTTTAAGCTACGGAAGTCGCAACCTGTTTCACGAACTTATTGCCAGATGAAGCTGCACTCTCCAGTTACAAATGAGCTTGAAATGTCGGAAGTTCAAAATGTTTTTATAAAACCAGTCGGATCTCCCGCTTAACGCCGGGCTTCCCTCATTATTATGAGAGAAATGTATTGATCGACCAACTCCTCCTTTGCAGCTTTTCCGTGCACGAAAATTGACCCTGGTTCCCAGTCCGGTGCAAATGGTATTCAGTGTCTGCAGACGTTTACGTCTGATTAGAAGCCTCGACCAAGACCATCATCATGAGAATATTAGCTATTGGAATTGAATTGTTAGGCAACCAAAGTCTCGAATGGTACCTACAAATGTTGTCGGGTGATAATAACATCACAATAAGATGTCGCTTTTAATGAAACTTTTTTCTCTAAGCAAATTTCATCAAATAAGAATCACAGATCATTGGCTGTAAGATAAGTTTTGTCGCAATTAGGAACCGTGACCCTTCTTCAATCCGCAAGCCTTGCAGGGTGTCGGTTGTTATCTGAGAGCAGAGAATGAATCGAATTTTCATCTCATCATAATTAAGCGCATCTAGTCAATCACTGTCACTACCCTTACTACTGACTTTTTGTCATTCTACTCTACCATCCCGTTTTTTTCAATATAACATACCAAGGAGTCAAAGCTACACCGTAACTACGGGAGGCATTAGAGATTTAATTGCTAGGTGGCTCTTGTTATCTTAGCCCTCTCATCAAACCTTATCAGCTGTTATTAGTTGCTGTCAGCGAGTACCTATGATACTGTCACATCCTACATCATCTTCTAAAATTCCCAAGTTTCACTGATGGAAGCGTGCTTCACGCGTATCACCACCGTTCAACTGAAATGTATATTATAGCACATAGTTGTTCATCTCTTCCGTCTACCTAATTGAATATTTTTTTATTTTTTTAAATTTTTCTTTTCTTTCTTTCTTTTATTTTATTTTTATTTTTTATTTTTTATTTTTCCTTTTTCTACTAATTATCTTCTTTTACACAGTCTTTGACCATGACTTTACACACGGGGGCCATACCCCTTTAACAATAGGGACTCTTTTGATAGGGTTACAAAAGTGGCTACTAGCAGGGGGTAGGTACCACGCCCTCGAAAGGGTCGACCCATCGCGTTTATCTTTTATAACACAGTTTTCATCATAGACCTAGGGCAAACCCCTTGAAACTCCCCCCCGGTATGTGGACTAGGCCCTCCACATACTTCCTGTATGGCCTACTAACACAATAGATCAACAGAAGTACTTCTATGGTAATAAAGTCTTTTATAAATCCAAGGTGGACGGAAGATATATATTAGAAGATTTTGGTAATAATAATAAACCTAAACAGTGTAAAAATAATTGCGGTAAATGTTCTTTGATTGATAATAAAAGTTTCATAGTAGCACACGTTACCGATCTTCAAATTAATACTTATATAGAAGATGCAGCTAATTGTAGTAGTACTAATGTTATTTATTGTATCACTTGTATAAAATGTGGCATGCAATATGTTGGATTAACAACTAGAAGTTTTAAAGATAGAATTAGAGAACATTTATATAATATTAACAAGGGAAGCACTAGTAACTACCTATACAAACATTTCAGTGAAGTATGCAATAGTAAACAAGTAAGGTTTAGTATTTTGGATAATTTAAAAGAAAATAAGGATAAACAAGTTTTGCAAGACAAAGAAGCGTTCTGGATAAGACTTTTAGTAACGGCCTTTCCCTTTGGTAACAACGATAACATTAAATCTTACGGTAATATCTCTAATATAACTAACCCTCTTAGTTATAAAGGTAATCATCCGTATTTCAGCCTAACAGTTATCAAAAGAAGGATTAGAAATGGCTCTAAAAAAAGAAACTCGTAAAACCAAAAAAGGAGATAATCAACTTAAAATTATCTCTTTCTTGAATAGTCTCAATAACACTAACGATTTTAGGTGCATCAAAAAGAAGTTATATCAGTTAGGTAAGAAAAATATACGCAGAATTATAGAATTAAGTTACAACAATTCTTTTCTTACACAAATTCCATTTAATACAAAATTGATATTACTATGCCTATTATGTAAGTTTCAATTCTCTGTAGATAAAGGTAAAGAAACATGTAATAAAGGAACTTATTGTAATCTACACACTAAATATCTGCATAACGTATTGGATTACGTTAATATTAATAAAATAGTTAACTCCAAAACCATTACTGATATTATTAAAGGCAATTCCAATGTTCCATATACACCGTTTAGGGTAATCTACAATTATGCTAAACCCGTTTCTAGTCTAATATTTAATTATAATAAAGTACTTAAAAAACTTAGTAACAGTCAATTACTAGATATACTAAATACAGAATGTTTGTGTCACAGTCCTAACTACTGCACATATGTAGACAAAGATTACGGGCATATAGTTACAGGTAATACTGAAGTAATACACGATGTAAATATTAAACAGGTTTTAGACAAAGGGTGTAAGTATAGAGTTACGGAATATGTTAATAAAGGAATAGTTATGGAATGGATTAACAATACTAGTGTTGAATATATTAAAGTAATAAAATGTAAATATAAGTTGAAAGAACAATTTCTTAAAGAAATTAGTAACATAATTAAGCTCAAACTATTTTTCTCTCCCTAGTCTCCCTAGTCCCTTCCCTAGTCATTTTTTAATGATGTGACCATTTTTCAATGTCTTCATTACCTACTTACTTAGCTTTTTTTAGGTTCCTGTATCACCTGTATCACCTGTACTCCCGTTGATCGTCGATTTCCTCGAGCGGGCGCCACCAACGTCTCCATTTGTCCCTGTCGCGAGCCGGAGTGTCCAGTGAATCGCACTCGCTCGAGGGACACGGGGCAGAACATTCCTTTCGTTCAGAGCTTTCGTGAAGAAGTCTGACCATCTCGTTGGCGGCCGTCCTGGTGTTCGCTTGACGTCCCGAGGGACCCAGTCCGTAACCGCCCTGGTCCAACAGTCATCATTATATCGCATAACGTGTCCGGCCCACCTGATCTTCGATCTCTTGGCGTAATCAACGGCATCCCTGATCTTCGTTCGTTGACGGAGCTCAGAACTCCGGATTCCCTTCTGCACTTGCGTGTATAGAGAAATTCCGAGCATCGTCCTTTCCACAGCGCGTTGAATAACGCTAACTGCATGCTCATCCTGCTTTCGTAGAGTCCAATTCTCTGAGGCGTATGTCAAAGCAGGAAGGACCGCAGCGTCGAAAAGGTGAGCGCGGAGCCGGATGTTCTTCGTTTTCTTCACTACTCCCTCGATGTTCTTAAATGCTCCCCACGCCGCGCGTTTCCGTCTGCTCAGCTCCGGAGCTAGGTCATTCATCATTTTGACTTCTCGACCTAGATACACATAGCTGGAGCATTCAGAGATATTCGTTCCGTTCAGCATGAAAGGAGCATCAGGTACCAATCCGTTTCGCATGAACATCGCCTTCGTCAAGTTCAGTCTCAAGCCGATCTCTCCACAAGCGTTGTCGAATTCGGCCAGCATTTGTTCCGCCTGCTCGATGTTGGGTGTTATAAGCACGATGTCATCTGCAAAGCGGAGATGATGTAAGTAGCGGCCATCGACCTTCACTCCCATGCTTTCCCATTCCATATGACGCATGACGTTCTCGANGTAGGGACACCCTGGTTGCCCAGGGCTTCAATTACCGCTTCTGTCTCGACGGTATCAAAGGCTTTCTTCAAATCGATGAACGTAAGACATAACGGCATTTTGTACTCCCGCGATACTTCAATGAGTCTTGTAACGGTGTGGATGTGATCGATTGTACTGAACCCTCTCCGGAACCCTGCTTGCTCGCAAGGCTGCCCTTCATCTAATATTCTGCCAATCCTGTTAAGGATGACTCGTGTGAAGAGTTTATAGATTACAGACAGCAGGCAGATTGGGCGATAATTGCCAATGTCGTCTGGATCTCCCTTCTTATACAGCAACACGGTCTTGCTAGTTTTCCACGAAGTGGGCACTTTGCATTGCGACAGGTACCGCGTGAAAAGCCGGGCCAGGGTTTTAACAATGACTGGCGGAAGGCTCTTCAGATGTTCTGCTTCAATCCTGTCGGGACCGGGTGCTGTACCATTCCTCATCGACGTGATGGCATGTCGAATTTCGGAAGGGAGAACTGAAGGGACGACGTAGCCGTCTTGCCTAAGATGGCAGGTAGGCATGTAGACGTGGCTGTCGAAGAGATCAGAGTAGAAGTCGTAGATGACCTTCTCCATTGCCCTTCGGGATGCAGTAACTGTTCCGTCAGGACGACGAAGGGAAGTCATCTTGGTCTTGAAATTGGCGAAACTCCGTCGGGCTTTGCGAATGCTCTTTCCGGCCTCGGCGGCTTCGTCCATAACTGCTGCTCTCCTCTCTTTCAGATCTTCCTTTATCGCTTCTCTGCATAGCTTCGCAAGTTCGGACGTTTGTTGGTGGTTGCCTGTAGCTCGCGCGATACCACGCTGACGTATCAGCTTGAGAGTTTTTGAAGAGAGACGTTTTTTGATATCAACAAAAACATTTTTCAGGTTAGTATTCATAAAGGGTTCTACCACTTGGTAACAATACTAATGCATTCCTTCAATACACAAATGCATTTTATACCTCTTAACTTATTTTTAATTATTTGTTTGTTATAATATATACATATACATTCATAACATTCATAAGTTCTTGTTCTCCCTTACCTCACTGGGGAGCACGGAGGGAGAATATTTCTTAAGTTTGACTTCCGTCTAGGGCACGTGCAAAACGGAAGTTGAACTACTTCTTTGGCTTGTCCCCCGTTGTAATCTTGATACTTTGTCTTAATATTATCGGTTGTAATTATTTATCATTCCTAGAAATAATTGTGGGTACTTCCCGATGCTTTGGTTGCTTGACGAATGAATCTTTATTGGGGTATTTATTTTCAAGATAGAGAGCGAAAGATTAAGACTTTCAATTGAAGGCGTAGTCGCTGACTTACACACAATACCACTTGCGCTGCTCTGTTAGTCTTGTGTCAAAGTTCATGTACAGAAAATATTGTTTGTTCCAAAGAAGGAGTGAAGAGTTAGCCGATTACTGAAACTTTGTCAAAAAAGGAGGGAAGCCCGGCGTTAACTGGGCGAACCGATTTTATGATGTTTGACCTAATTTATAATATACACTTATCGTGTTGGCCAGAAAGTCTGCGACGAAAAACATAGCTTAAAAAATTAGTTTAAACAACGTGAACAGGTAGCGATCATAAACATGTAGGACGTTCCCCGGCTAATCAACACATGTGTAGACAAGGGCATGCGGAAGGGCTTTCGCAGCACTACCGTCAATGAACGTCAACGTCAGTGGATAACACCCCACCCCATTCGTACCATCACATTCTACTGGGCACGCTAGGGGAAAAACGAGGGTATAGCTGTTCAAGTTATCAGCAACTTATCCGATGCTAACACTGATCAGCGATCACTGGTAAACAGTCGGTTGGATCGCCTCACTGCAGGAAATACTGGCTTTAAAAGTACTGCACGCATCGTCCCTTATCTTCGAGGGGGTGTAAGGGACACATCCACCATGAATTGCCAAACGCAGACTAGATAATCGCAGCTTCCGCTTACCCCTATTAACCCCTGGGTTCAGCTAACACGGTTGGATAAAGACGTCTTAATCTATAACTTAGGTCCCTACGGTAGGACAACGCCCATCGAAATTTCGCACCGGACCCTCGTCAAAAGTTCACCGACTCCGCTTGGTTCTAGGTCGTTCATCGATCGTACTCGTGGTGTGTTGCCCCTTTCGATTACTGTATTCTCCGCCTTCTCAAGCATCCCTTTGCCAGAAAAAAGTTCGTAACATAATGCGATCTGCAGTCGATTACTTCTTCCAGTCACAGCTTCTTGATTTCTGGACAATTGGCATCAGTGGTCTGCTTAAGGAATAAGCGAACATTGTTTATCACTTCGGTGAATATATTTCCAATAATTGAATTATATGGAAAATCTTAGAAACGAATCTAAAAAGGCTTCCATTTCATATTGTATCTATGTGCAAATATGATTTCGTTGAGTCACAGTCTTTTGACCTTCACTACATTCAAAGATGTACTACTCGGACGGTATCGCTAATGCACGGACCTCCTCCTTCCTCCTTTCTGTAATGATTGTGACGCCTAAAAGGAAATAGATCTTCATCTGGTTGATTCGTGTAGTGTAGAATCTCACACTCCACTAATTTCTCTACAGAACGCGGATACAGACATGATTATGAGTTGTATGAGTATGAGTACGAGTTTAAATAGAAAGTTCAAGACTTTAGCTTACCGCAGATGAGTCTTCTTCATTCGATTAGTTTATCTATTCCTATCCTTTGCCAATTTTTCCCCGTCGGTGGGCTTTTAAAAGCAAAATTTTGGTTTTTTTCCTATCGCACCGCCCACTCCGATGAATGTTCTGCCCCTTGTGCGCGGATTTCTCTTGAGCTCATATATTTCTACTGATCTTGCCCGCCCATACCAATTTAGACGGGGCCTCTTTGTGTAATACCTAGCATCGGAACAGATAGACAGAAGCGGATTCTTCATATATATTGGGTTGTCCGAAAAGTTCATGCCGATTTCTGGAACGACTTTGCGTTTTCTAGAAGAACAAATACTTTTATTCAACAATATTTCTCAATTCTGTATAATATATTGTGTTTATATTGTGCCAATCCTTCTCGATTAACATTTTGATTTGATCCTGTTCAAGTGATGATGGCCTTCCTGCGCGTTGCCGATCTTCGAGGTTGAGTTCACCCCGCTTAAGTGTCGCAAACCACTTATGAACTGTACTTTCATGTTGAGCTTCCTCTCCGTAAACGCGACAGATCCTTCTCGCGGTTTGAGCTGAATTCTTTCCTTTGCGATAGAAGAAAAGCATTAGATGGCGAAAATGCACGCGATTGTCTTCCATTTTCACTCGAGCCCTTTACAAAGGGACTTTAAAGATATCAACATAACCTGAGAAGGATATAGATTAAGTCTTACGCTCTCAGAAAATATATGACTCTATGAGGTTATGGTTACGATCTTTTTCAAAACACTTGGTAAACCAAGGATGTTCACAACCGGCATGAATTTTTCGGACGACCCAATATTAAAGTAAGTGACGATGATTATTTCATAGGTGATGGCTAATGATGATGAGTTTATGTACAGAACGATTCTGGACTGATGAAGACGCCTTTGTACAGAGTGACAGTAGTCCTGCCCGTTTCAGTGTAAGCCCCGCCCACTTCGGTGCAAGCCTTGCCCACTTCAGAGATTTGGTTACATTCCTTCTTTAGCCTCTAACGACTGCTTCCAGCATTCTAGATCTTTCTTTCACAAAGCTATGAGTTTTTGAGTTCAGCCCGCCCCTTTCAGTGCAAACCACGTCCGCTCTAGGATGTGGCTACATCCTTCCTATGGAATCAGACCACCTTTTTCGCATTCTTGAACCTTTATGAATGAAAGTATAATTTTTTTGAAAGAACCCAACATGCGATGCACCCCGCCCAAAGTGGGCGAGATTCTATATGTTTATGAACGTCCAATACGCATAAGGCCTCGCTCTCTCCTTTTACTTTTTTTTTGACATTCAGCTTTCGTTGAATCGAGTTCTGAACCAATGTATTAAGTAAGTAAGTATCGACCATGCGAGGACTCTCAGCCCACTGCCGTTGAGGTTCCTTCACTTTGCTTTTTAACCCATCCATCGCCTTCGCTCATTTTTACCTGGCGTCTGGGCTGATATGAAACCTAATTCAGAAATATTGCCCATAAAACCGCCCTCTCGTGGGCATGCCTCAACTCCGGTGGGTGGAGCTTCACCAGATTCACGTGTGCTCTGTTGTTCTTGTCCTATGTGCAAACCACCCCAAACCTGCAAGGTTTCATCAGGTAATATCACATCTCCGTACAAATAAACGATCAAACAGGAAGACAGAGAGACATACTCGAGCGCGTTATATGTATAATGGCATGATGACGATTCGCGTACTTATATCCCTAATGACCCTTTCTTTTCTGCCGGGTGTGTGGGCTTCTTCCATAAGTACTATAACAGCAGGATTTGAATTCGATACACAAATGAGCAGATGCTGAGGAGAAGTTTGTCTTCGGTCATCACAATTTCAGATTTCTCGAGGCACGATGGTGGAATCCTTTGATAATAGATGTTGTTATTCACGGGATGATAAATTTCGGTATATGATGTAACACTCACCATTTTTCGCTCTCGCGTACGCCAAGAAAGAATTGGTTTTAAATCTCCGAGGATATGACAGTGTTTCGATATTTTCTGCAAAAAGCATCGATCCGCTGTTACATAACTTGTTCCACTACTACTGATTGGAATGCTCTGTTCTCCACTTGTTATGTATGATTAGGTTTTTTACCCAAAATTATTCTATGTCCCTGTGGGCCACCAATCGAGCAAGCGGTATTCATACACAATTGAAGGCGTGAACAAGAAGTTCGATTTTGATTAAACACTATTTTGTTTCTGTTGAGCCTCCGTCCATGCTCTAGGCCTTCTGATATGTGAAACTTATTTTCTACTTGTTGAAAGTGTCCGTTGTTATGTGTTTGTACTGCGGCTGACACAACGATAAATTGTTGAGACTTTTTTACCTTTTTTGTGCTTCATGAGCGTAAGATTCGGTTGAGAAGCTCAATGCGTCTCATATGTCTGCCTCTGTTCGAAATAGAGTAGTTGCTCCCGAT